TCGCAGCAAGAAGAAGGTTTTCCCCATCTGATCAAGTTCTGTCCTCTCCCCCTTGGATGGGTGAGCTGAAAACCCAACAAATATCAAATCCTACCGCTTCATGTCACCACAAGCTGTGGGACGTGTCCCCTGATTAAAAGGCAGAAGGATCATGACCAGAAAGCTTCCAGTGAGAAAGGAGGGAATGGCACTGGCACAGAAATGTTGGCAATATCGAGGTGCCAGAAAATTCATGACAAACCACACACAAATATTTGCAGGATGGGGGTGGGCGGGGGGATGGGGGGGAAGAAGAAAATAAAAAAGACTAAATTATATTTAGAGGGAGTCTGTGATTTTCTGCTGTTGGGAGAAATCTTCTCACGGCGAGCTTAAACGCTGAATCCATTTAAATGTAATTTAAACCCCCAACGAGGCTTTCAAGCCGCTGTTTCCCAAGGCATACAAATAATTTCAGAGGATAAGCTCAGATTGCACCGAGACAAGGCCGAGGGAACCGTGCTTGGTTTGCCAGTGCCTTTATCTGTAAGACAAGGAGCAGGAAGGTGCAATAGGTTTTAAGGGAAGGGAGGAAGACACAGGGTAAGGAGATGTTCAGAGAGGTGACATGAGGCAAAGGCACTCGTTTCCCACTCGTAACAGGGAAAAATAAGTATTTTATTTATTTATATTGTATTTATGCTTAATACAATTCACCACAACTGGGCCAGTGTAAACACAATGGCCCTCAACTGCCTGGCACTAGAAGCTTTCTGATTATCAGCCTTTTGCCTAATCACATCTAATAGCTCCCTGTCTCAGAGGATTTTTATGAAGCCTTTAATTCACCCCAAATGCTTTTTAGAAGCAGATAGTAAATGCACCTGCCTGCTCTATTAGTACTTCAGGGGGAGGAAATAAACCCATAAACTTTATTCTTTCGTGAGGAAAATTCAGCTTTCCTGAAGAGAAAAGTTATTATAAAACACTGTATCTAATGAGGAAGTTTTAATTTTAGCAGCTTTCTGCGCTGTCATAATTAGTTCAAGAGAATTTGGGACACACAATTTCAGGAATCTGCAATCCTGAGATAAAACTACATTAACACTGGAGCATCACAGGGCTGCTGATCTTTACAAAGCATGTCACAAGCATCTACAGATCCAAATTTGCATAGCATTTAAAAGCTTCACATTTACAATACTGTGTACAAAACCCTAACAAAAATTCACACCCGTTTACTTTCATTTGAGAACTACCTAAACAGTCTTGAAAGATAAAGCAAAAGATAATATCTTGAAAGATAAAGCCAGGGAAGAAGAGTCTGTGGGACAATGGGAAACGTCAGGACTTCACAAGTACCTGCCTGGGCAGAAATCCTCATCCCCCACATCTTTTACAGTTTACAGGACTCTCATCTTCTCTAAAAATGGCCCTGATGAAACCACTCTTTTTAAATTCCCACCAAGTTCTGTTGGCTTTCATATGAACCACCAGAACTGGGAAATACCCAGTAAACCTCCTCACACAGACAGAAAGACCCAGGATATAAAATGCCACTTAAAACTGCACTGACACTGTCCATAGACAGAGCACACATGAGATTAGGGGCTTCTGTTTTGTTCTGGGGTTTTGTTTTTTTTTTTTATCAAATAGGTCATGGCTGTATTTCTTTCTGGGGTTTATTTTGCCCTTTTTTTTTTTTTTTCCCCTTGCAGCTGAATTAGTTCTAGACTTTCTGGGGCTTTCCTCCCAGAAGTTCTAATAAAGCAAAGACTGAAAAGCTGAAACAAACAGTTTTATCCTTTGCCTATTTTTAGAAGCCCATTTGAATTCTTATGTGCATATTTCAGCAACTAAAAGGGCAAGGGAGAGGGGAAAGCATAATTTCTGATGTGTTCCAGCACTGCAAACAGAAGAATCTGGAGTGGAGGGAATGGGATAGGCAGGAGAGAAAAGGGAAGAAACCAGGACTGAACAAAGGAGTCAGGAGATAAGCAGAAGGGCAGATGAGAACCAAGGTACCCAGCAAGTCTGTACAGGAGAGAGATAACATGAAACACAAGGCAACAGGGCAGGAGGAAAAGGCAATGGAAAACCAGGTAGAGGTAACAGATTTGCAAACAAAAAAAAAAAAGTTTAAGGAAAATTACTGTTCAAAAGCAAGATTAAGCAAGAGAAACCTGAACTAAATGAGGAAACATAGAAGTGAGGTTCAGAGAGAGGCAGACCAGAAGGAAGGCTCACAACTGAGATTAACAGACACTTCTGTGCATTCCCATGCCAGATGTTCTGTCTCCCTAAATTTAGAAGAGACAATGGGATGAATCCTTTTACTGATTTGGCAGGGGACTTTATTTTCGATTACGTGGTTTAAGAATTAAAGTTGCCTTGGTCAGCGTTAAACATCTGAAAGTCCCTTTAAAGATTTCCACTGGAACTGCTGAAAAGAAGCAGCCAGAGAGCTGCTGTTCTCCCCCCAAATATGCTCTGTGTGTGTGTGTGTTGTGATTTACTCTCCTGAACTGTAACCTTAAAACATTATATCCTATAACTGAACGTGCAGCACCATCAGCAGTCCTGAACAAGTTCGGAGTTCATTCCACCTTTCCAGAAAACGAGCCAAAAAGCTGAGACAACAAATAATCCAGGCTGAAAAATGATTCAGGCCCACCAGGAGACGCAATGCCAAAATAAACTGAAAACAGAACAAATACAGAAAGGTTGAAGGCCAGGTTGGACAGGGCTTGGAGCAACCTGGTCTAGTGGAAGGTGCCCCTGCCCATGCAACGAGATGAGCTTTAAGGTTCCTTCCAACACAAACCAAACCATTCTGGGATTCTGTGATCCTATGAAATGGGTGAGGAACTGGTGGGCTGACAGGTCTTGAGGAGCAGCTGCCAGTGGGCATTTTTAGTGGGTTTCTGCAGAGATTGGCAAGAAGCTTAAAAGTGCACAAACGATTCGACCACTTGAAAAAAATAAGCAGCAACAAAATTTCCTAATGGCCCAAAGTCTGCCTGTGACATCAATCAAATGATCTCCTCGATCCTTTCAAAACTACTGTGATCCTTTAAACCATTTGTGAGACCTGGGCAAACTCTCTCCTGTGACACTGGTAGTATTCCAGCACCTGAAGGGGCTCCAAGGGAGCTGGAGAGGGACTTTTCACAAGAGCATGGAGTGACAGGGACAAGGAGGAACGGCCTCAAGTTGAAGAAGGGAAGGTCTAGATTAGATATTAGGAAGAAGTTCTTCACTCAGGGGATGGGGAGGCTCTGGCACAGCTTGCCCAGAGAAGCTGCTGCCCTGTTCCACCACACCTTCAGACAGGAGCTCGGAAGGCACGGGGCATGAATGCTCCCTCCCTCACCAGCCTGCCTGACTCACTTAAGCCAAGACCAAAACACGATTTACCCACGTAAAACCCTGTAAGTGTGACAGACAAATGACACTATTACACCTCCGTCAGCAACTCTGGTCCTCCGTGCCGTGAGGGCTCTGACAGGGGGAAACACAGCGCTCAACTCCCGCCTTGGAAACTTCAATTCCCAAGTCCACTCCTGACTTCGACACGAGGCCACACGGGGAAAACAACAGCCCTGCGGCGAAGACGGGAGCACAGGGAGCAGGGCGGGGGATGTGCCCTCCAGCCTGTGCAGGGAGCACTGGGAGCACTGCCATCTGCTGCAAGAGAGCTGAACGTCAGCGCTGGAGAGCAGAGCAGAGCCAGGGCGCAGAACAGGGATCACTTCCTCGCACGCTCTGGGATGCTGTGGAACCTGGGGATGCAGGTTAAGGGGCTGGACTCGATCTCAGAGGGCTTTTTCCAGCCTTAAGGATTCGGCGGTGATTTTGCAGCACGTGGAGCTGCTGGAGGGAGTCTAGAGGAGAGGATCAGAGGGATGGAGCAGCTCTGCTGGGAGGAAAAGGCTGGGAGAGCTGGGATTGTTCAGCCCGGAGAGGAGAAGCTTTGGGGTGACCCGATTGTGGCCTTTCAGAGCCTGAAGGGGCCAACAGGAAAGGTGGTGAGACAATATTTCCCAGGGCCTGGAGGGACAGGACAAGGGGAAATGGCTTCCCTCTGACATTAGGGTTAGATGGGATATGGGGAGGAAACTGTTCCCTGTGAGGGTGGGCAAGCCCTGGTACAGGTTGCCCAGAGAAGTTGTGGCTGCCCCTGGATCCCTGGAAGTGTCCAAGGCCAGGTTGGACGGGGCTTGGAGCAACCTGGGACAGTGGAAGGTGTCTCTGCCCATGGCAGGGGGTGGAATGAGATGACCTTTAAGATTCCCTCCTACCCAAACCACTCAATGATCATCAAACTTCAGCATCTCCAGCTCCCAAGTCAAGCTTTGAAACTAAGCATCTGTTCGCCTTCTGATTTTTTTTTTTTTTAACTTCTCCCATTAGCCATACAATATTTAATTTTTCAGACATGGTCAAAGCAGCTTAGCTAGAATTTAAGGTGACTTTAACTCTGGATTTAAAAAGACCCAAACCAACAACAAACCAAAACCAAACCCACCAGATGCTGCAGAATAAAACTGATACCGCTGTAACCACATGAAAAATCCCATCCTGATAGTTGCAAAAACAGTATTTCTAGTTCTGAGTAGAATCACATAAATCAAAGCTCTCTGACAAAAACTGCTAGAGAAAAAACTCTATAACAAAGTTATGAACTTGGGGGAAAAGAACCCCAAATAATAAATGTTGGCAGATAAAAAAAAAAAAAAAATCTGTGGAGCAGAATTACGTTTTAAAAAAGACCAAGGACTACAAATTTGGGACCAATTATCTTGATCCACAGCAAAAATCCCATCGATGCCCATGGAAGTCTATCTGGGATGAAATGTTTACTGCAAAGAAAATATCCAGGTTGCAAAGCACCCACGGCAGCAGCACCAGTCATTGGAAAAGATGATACCGATCATTTCCTGGGAAAAGTTTAGCTCTGCCCTTTCATTATGTGTTGCATCACTGTTAATTCATATCTGGTAAGGAACAAAGATTCAAAAGGTCTGCAATTAACACACTTCAAGCTGAATAAAAGTACCACTACATCTTCAGGCTACTGTAGAGAAGGGTCGCTCTCAATCACCAGGATTGCAAACTGCTTATTTTCGATAAATCCCATCATTCTGCGGAACTTGGACTTGTCACAAAAGCAACAGAAACGCATTAAGTGAGTGGCCCAGGCTTCCAGAGTATTAGGTCTCTTCCCTGGATCAACTCCTGCACGTTTAACCATAATCCAGAATAAGCAGCCAAATGTTATCACGTTAACAGTAAATAACAGCAGTGCTTTTCAACTTAAATAGCCAACCCAGAATAGGAAACTTCTTCTGGAGGAATAAAAACCCCAGGAAAACCTTGTTACATTTCAGAGCATTGTGCTGATGTCCTACCGGCACAAGGTTCTGGTCCTACAGAAACCTCTGAACAACCAGTTCCTGAAGGGAAAAATCACTTACAGTTCAATCCATTCCACAGGAAACTGACCTGGTGTTTTCTCCCCTGACCAACCAGAAGTCAGAAAAAACTCAAGCAACCCGAAAAACCAAACACGACGGACCAAAGAAAACCTGTCTGGTTATCTGGAAGCAATTCTGTCCAAAAATCACGTCCTGGACCTTAACAGAAGGTCTGCTCTGTTAGTTCATACATGATGCACCTGCCTTGTTAAAACTTATTATTCTAAGTTTCCAACTTATGCCTTTGGCTGAAAACAGAGCACAGAAGGGCAAGTGTATCCTAAACATGTGGAAAGGTTGCAGTTTACCTCCGTGCTCATTTGCTTGGCATTAACA